CATACTGTTTTCCAGAGTGGCTGCACCAGCTTGCATTCCCACCAACAGTGTAGGAGGGTTCCCCTTTCTCCGCATCCCTGCCAACATCTGTCATAAGAAAATAGACAATCTTGAGCAAACAGTTCCCTGCTGAGAAACTAACTCTGGCCATATAGAAGATAAACCATGTGAAAAGGTCAGAAAATGGGAGCGTCCTGGATATAACAAGAGTATAGATTCATATGAAACTACTGGCACAGCTGCTAGTGAGATGCATAGACTTTGAGCTAGAGGTTTAGAGAAAGCAAGGAGCTACCTAATCACATTTCTCCCCAGTGTTGAGGGCTGTGTATGTGTGTGTGTGTGTGTGTGTGTGTGTGTGTGTGTGTTTGGAGGTATGCAAATCAATCTCCCTCTGGTTCTCTCAAAGGGCGGCTGTTTTCTGTTCCCTAGCCCTCTGGGTGGAGGCGGGATGGGTTACCTTCTTTCTCACTGCTATTTATAAACCTTTTTCTCCCCTTTTTCTTGGCTTCACTCCTCTCTTTGAATCTGATGTTGTTAGACCATACCACTCACTGCTTTCCAAGTTATTCTCCCCTCCAACCTCCAGGTCTTTTCTTGAAATTCCTTGAAGACTATTGTTCCTGGTTCTCACCAACACTATTCTGGTCATATATTTTGGTGATTTTGATAACCTTGCGAACAGTCCATCCAATGCTTTGGCCCCTCATTTCTATGACCTCTTTTTCTCCAGGGATTTTAATTTACTTCAGCATTCCCTCCCTTGGTCCTACCATGGATTTTGACAGTACCAATATCTGCAGCCCTTCCATATCCTCAGTTTCAAGCATCCCACTCTTGGATCCCCACCTCTTATCTTTTCAGGGCATTCTTTCCAGCATCTTGCTTTAACAAACTTTAGATCTCCACTGGAACCTTCAATCTCTTTATTGTACTAACTTTATAATGTCCCTTACATCCCACTTGTCCTCCCTTTCCTTATTATCTATTTTAAGTTTCATGGTCAGTCATTTAATTACTCCCTTGCACTAATCTCTCTTCAACTCCCTAAATCTTCATTTCTTGCTTGAGAGTAATATTTTGGTAAAGACTCAACCCTGATTAAAATAAATTTTTCCACCTACTTTATGCCTATAACCATACAACTGAAGAAAAATGCTCAACCATGCTGACTAGTCTCACTTGAAATGCAGAATCATGAATCTCACATGGGTCCTTAAGGCCATCTGGCAATTGCACAGGTCTCTGGTTCTACTCTTCTGGACAAATATTTTGTACCTTATCTTCCTTCCTCAGACCTCCAACGTCTCTTCCTCTATATTATTGATTCCTATTTGTATTAGTTATCACTTTCCGTGTAATGAATTACCCCCGAATTTAACAAAACGTAATCTGTCTCAAACCGAATTCCCGATCTTCCTCCCAAACCTATTCTGTCTGCCATTTTCCCCATCTTAGTAAATGGTAATGGCAACTCCATCCTCTTAATTGCTCAGGACAAAATCACTAGAATTTTTCTTGACTCCTCTCTCTCTCCACACACATACACACACACACACACTCTATATCCCACTTTCAACAGGTCCCAAAAGTCCTGTCTCCCAAATATATCCAGAATCCCAACTACTTCTCACCATCTTTACCACTACTTCTCTGATCTAAGACATTGTCATCTCCTATTCGGATTATTGGAATAGCCTCTTAATTGGCCTACTACTTATACTCCTGGCTCATTCAGTATATTCTCAATACGGCATCTACTGTGATTTTTTAAAAATTTAAGTCACATTATGGCCTTCCTTTGCTCAAAACATGGGTGATTCCCCCATCTCAATGCCTTTCCATGGCTTACAATGCTTTATATGACTGCCTAACCCCTAACTTTTGACTCCTACCCCAACACTCTCCCCCTCTCACTCTGTACCAGTCACACCAGCCTCCTTGCTGTTTCTCAGCTACTTTGGAGTGATTGTACTTGTCCCCTCTACCTGAACACTTAACTCTCCTTTGAAGATTATGGTAGCTAGTTCCATTAGATTGCGGGAGTTTGCATTGGAGCCTTTGCTCAAAAGTACCTCAGTGGGGGCGCCTGGGTGGCTCTGTTGGTTAAGTGTCTGACTTCAGCTCAGGTCATGATCTCAGGGTCCTGGGATGGCGCCCTCTTCTCCTTCCCTCTGTGTTCTTTCTCTCAAATAAATAAATATTTTAAAAAAGCACTTCAGTGAAGCCTTCTCTAGTCATCCTATCTAAAAATTCATTTCCTCTCCCTGCAACACTCTTTATCGTCTCTGCTTACGCTACAATATTCATGAGCATCAGACACTTACTCACTCCTGTGTTTGGTTACTTATTACAAATTCCATGAACAAGGGGTCTTTGTTTTGTTCACTGCTATATATTTCCAGTGCCCAGAACAGTAAGGGTGCATAAAAAGCTCTCAATTATATGTTAAATGAATGAACGAATGGGTATTTCACAGGGATAATTGAAGTGTCCCAGAATTATAGCAGAGCTTGGAGCAGTGAGGGTGACCGCTCGCGTGGCTGTTCAAATATAAGAATATGCATTAAATAGCCTTATAAATGTAACGAGGTGTACACAGACTAACTAAGCTTAGCTTAGTTAGCTTAGTTTGTTCCTAGAGGAAGCCCTGCTAGGCCCACCTTTTTCCATCCTTTTCTCCTACTTCCCTCTGTTGGGACCCCTGTCCCTCCCAGTCACCGTTCTTCAGCTCAATGTAATCCCTTCCTGAAACACTTGAACTGGTCTCCGTGCTGGGGCTTCAACGGCACCAGCAGCCGACCACACCTCAGCCGGCGCGTTACCCAGCAGCCGCGCGAACCCACTCGTCCCGCCCAGTTTCTCGGGCCTTCACAAGTCCCTCCCCCTCAGCTAGAACGAAGCGGAAGTGACGTTTTTGCGGAGCCCGAAGTCCCGCCCCTCACGCTTGCCCAGCCCCGGGGAGGGGACGCAAGACCGGAAGGGGTGGCTACAAGGCCCCCGAAGGGCGGGGCGGGGCGGGGCGGGGCGGGGCGGGGCGGCCCTCCCCAACGTGGCGGTTTACTGGAGGCGGTTCCCTTAGTATCCGGGAGAGTTTGAGTCTGTGGCGAGCGGCTCACCGGTACTGGGTCGGTGCTATCTTAGCAGGAGTGGGACCCCTGAGGCCTCAGAAACAGGCTTTTGTCTGGCCCGGGACTCCTCGGCGTCCAGCGCTTTCCCCCATAAACGGATACCGGTCATTTGGACTCTGCCTCTGGCTCAGGTTCCCACCCCACCCTACCAGGCCCCTTTCCTTCTGGCTGCTGCGGTCGTTCCTCCCTTTCCTCGCGGTGCCACCGGTGGGCACCGTCTTCGTTCTCTCAGTAGATCCCTTTTTCTCCCCCTCTCATCCCCATTCTTTCCAGAAGGCAGTCTTTATACTCTTCCTTTTTATTTCTTCCCACTTCTCTCCCCTTCTTTCCTCTTTCCTTCCTTCTCCAGCATTCTCGTTCTTCGACTGCCTGTCAGGCTACTGCCTCCTGCAAGGCTTCTCTCCCTTTCTGGAGCCTGTGCTCATGGCTCAGGAGGTTGAGCTTTTAGCGCAGTCGTTTGAAGATGTTAAGCTTCTCTTTTCTCCTGCCCAGGAGTCACAGATGCCAGGAAGTATGGCCCCCCTCAAGAAGCCTCGAAATACCACAAGGGTGCCTCTGGCTTTAAACCCCCTGAAGAGCAAGGACGTGTTGGCAGTGCTGGCTGAGAGGAACCAGGCTATAATGCCAGTTGGGGCATGGGTGGAACCTGCCTTGCCAGATAGTTCGGAAGTCCCAGCATATGTGAGTGTCAGTTTGATGCAAATGTAGTGGGGTTCCTCCCCCATTTTTCTTTTTCCTTTCTTTCTCTCCCCCTCCCCCCATGTTAGCCTTCTGTAATCCCTGGTGCTTAGATAAAGATGAACAGTCCTTTCTGGGGTTGTCCTTTCTTTTCTGTTATAAATAGGTACGTTCTTGAATTAGGATTGTAGAACAAACACCTATTTGCCAAAACTGTTCATTTCACAAACTCTTGATCGCTTGCTACGCACAAGACATACGCACTATCTATATCTTGCAGACACCCTACAACATAGTAGGGGTGACAGTTGCTACACTTAATGAAGCATTAATTGATTGCTTGAAGTTAATAAGAGTGTAGTAGAGATTCAGTAAGATTCAGACACAGAATAAGGAAAGAACAGATTAATTCTGACTGGGATTCTGAGAAAGTTTAACTATAAATTTCATGAGGACAGGGAACTTTTTGTTCATTCCTGTCCTGTCATATAGTAAGTATTAAGGAAATACTCAAAAAATGGATGTGGAAATGTAGTCTATGTTCGTCCTTAAAAAATGGAAATGTTGTAAGTACAGATCGTAGGGAACAGCATTTCAGATGAAGGGAAACTTTTGCGAAGTTTACATGTGTGCCTGTTTACATAATAACTCATGTGCTAATTGACACAGGAGGACAGTTCTGTAAGAATATTTTTGATAGTCTTTCACTAAACTGTGCCTCTTAGCTATTTGTTGGAATTTTATTGTGGCATTTACCACATTATATTTGTAGTAAGTTGTTTACATATCTACTTTTCCTGATGGAGTGTGAACTTCCAGAGCACAGGAAAAAAATCTTATTTATTATCATGCCCCCGACTTTATCTTAGTGCCTAATAAATGGAATGCACAAATTGTGGGAAGGTTCTTCTGAATGTATCGACAAAATGCTGAACATAAGATGAAAAATATGAGTGGTCCTTGATCTCAGAGAAGAAATGAGACATGTTTAAAGTAAATCTTAAATAGCGAAGCAATATCATATATTCATTAATTTTATTTTTTGTATGTGAATATGTATGTACATACATATTCATTTATTCCTCTTCTGCCCATTTCCAGAAAGGATTTTAAGTATCTGAGTAGTATATGATTAAGTGCTATGACTATGATACTTAAAGAAGAAAGATAGGACTTTGGGTTGATGTGATACAGGCAAGTTTAATGAAGAATTTAGATAGAGAAGGAGGATGATTCAAGAAGAATGGGGAGAGTGGGAAGTGAGCGAGGTGTATCAGGATTCTAAGGGTAGATTAGATTGATTGGAGTGGGAAGCTTAGTGGGGGGATGGTGGCTGATAGAACTGTGGAAAATAGGAGCTGTAGGGAACCACAGGAAATGGAGAAGGGATTGACTTCATTCATTGTTTAATATTTACAGATGAATTTCATAATAAAACAGTGTTCTGATTAGGTTAATTGCTTCAAAACTTTTTTGAAGTGAGGGATAGATTGGCTCCTGGGGGACAGATTAGGATGTAATCGTAACAATTTAGCCATGAAGTATAGCATCAAGACTTGTTTAATGGTAAGGAATAAAGAGGGAAAGCCTTGAGAAAGGGTGGTTGAAGTAGGAATGAAGAGGGATAAATGTCTTATATTTATCCCAGAAGAATCAGTAAGATTTGGTACAAAGGTATTTTGGTATTTAAGTTAGTGACTCCTCTTTTTCATTGCTCAAATAATGACATCTTTGTAATGTAGCATCAAAATGCCTAAAAACCACCAAATTTTTCTTTTTCTATGTGAAAGAGAATTGAATCTCATGTTCCCAAACACTAAATGGAAATACTAGTCTTGGAAAAAATATAAACATGTCTCCTTTCCCTCATTTAAAAAATTTTGATCAGTACCAGTCAAAGTCAATCTGATCAAGCATCTCATAGAACTCTTTACCGATTTAGCATATATGGACTGGGGAATCCACCCTTAACAGATGCAGCTCTTGTCAGCTCAGAATAAATGCTGAATAGTTACTTCTAAAGCATGGTAGACCTAATATCATGCCTATTCTAAAGGGAAGCTCCTAATCATTTTTGTCCCCAAAGTTTCAAGGAGCTGTCAAGATTCCTAAAAATACCGTAACTTCAGACCTCCCTCCCCTTCCATTAATTAAATTAGCACCGAAAGACACTGCTGTTCTATCAGCATTCATGGCTGTTGCATTATTTTATAATTTATCTGATTATCTATTGTTGTGTAACAAACCTGGATCTTAGTGGCATAAAGCAAAAGATACTGTGTGTCAGGATTTCAAGCAGGGCACAATGGGGATGGCTTGTCTGCAACATGGTGTCTGAAGCTTCAGTTGGGACAGCTAAAATGGCTGGAGATGTCTGGGACAAGTTTACTGGGTTCTGGCTGTTGGTTGGATTTCTTGGTTCTTCATCTGGCATCTGTTGGGCTGTAAAGTCCAAGATGGCTTTCTCACTCACATAACTGGCACTTGGGCTAGGATGACTAGAATGGCTAGGAGCTTGCTGGAAGATTTCTCTTTCCACACGGCCTCTCTACTTGGCTAGCTTGGGCTTCCTTTCAGCATGGTAGTCTTAGGGTAGAATTCTTACATGGTGGCTGGTTTCCCTAGGGTGAGCATTCCAAGAGCTATAGGTGGAAGTTGCTTTATGACCTTGCTGGAGAAGTCATGGAGCCAATGCTTCTTCCTCTTTTTGGATATACAGAGCCAGACTACATTCAGTATGGGAAATGACTACACAAGGGCATAAATACTGGGAGACTTGATTCATTGTGGGGAGAAGGGGAGATCATCCTTGGAGACTACTGTGTAATCTAAATATCAGTCCCATCATATGTGAATTATCCAAAAATGTTCTTTGGTTGTTGTGAGAAACACTTCATCCTATCTTGCCCACTTGGATAGTCCTTAAGGTTCAAAAAGTCTACGAGGAGTTAGTTGTACAATTGAAACAGTATTTATTTTTGCCTAACCCAGTATTTCTCAAATTTATTTGACTCTGAGAATCTCCTAACATTCCAGAACATGGGACAATGTTCTTGGGTTTTGGTGGCCTTACACAATGGTGTTTGCTAAGAAAAATATGTTTCTAAAATATGGCACATTCTTATGTTTGGCTTACAGTTGAGATTCACAATTTGGAATCAGTCATATACTTCAGTAAGATGTTTGATAATCTCAGCATGGGGGTAAAGAGAGGGCAGACAGATAGTGGAAGTAAAAAAAGGAAGGATGGCTTTAATCTTCTGGGAGTTGAGTTAATTTCGGTCAGTTGTTCAGGCTTTACTATCTATCTCTCTCCTTTGGAATTATTTTACCTAATTGTTCTTTGATATTTGTTTTGTACACTCTACTCCTATGGTATATACTCGTATAGAATATGGGGTAGATTTCTTGGAAAATTTAATTTTAATTGGAATTTAAGTTCATTTGATTTTGAGAGTTAATGACCTCCTATGAAATATTTGGGCACCTTCTGAACTAGAATTTGGAATCACTGTGTTAGAAGAAGGGCTCAATAGGAGTATGATTTTATTTAATTTGAAGATTCCTTTTGAAAGAGAAACACAGTCGAGAGAAAAACAGTACAGTATAGGGCATACATATTGGAGTCAGAGAAACTTCTAGCTGTGCTACTTGCCAGCCATAGACTCTTTGGCTACTACTAAAGATTAATCTTTCTGAGCCCCAGTTTCTTCATCTTTAATATAAGAGATAAGAATACCTTCTGTTGGAGGTAGTGTTGGGGATTCAGTGATAAAATGTAGTTAAAGTGCTTGTCTTGTAGCAGATCTTTAATAATGGTAACTGCTTTTAATTATGATGACTATGGTTGTTATTCAGAGCACTCAGAGGAAGTGAATACTGATCAGGGACTCAAATGGGATAAAATATTCTAGATTGTTTAGAATATGTTTTGGAATTGAGCATTACATAAATATTGAGTGTCTTTATATTCAAGGCTCTGTGTTACATATTGTAGGGGAAACAAAGGAGAGTTAAGTACATTTCCTGTCCTCAAGGTGTACCTAACCTAATGGGGGATTTGAGAAGTGTTGCTCTCAATTAATGTTAATAAGAATGAGAGGTATTATAGCATAGGAGAGCTCAGAAGAAGAAGGGATTGTGGAAGGTCCTAGGTGGTGGGTATTAGATGGTCTTAAAGAATGAGTAAGCCTTTACCTTACTAGATAGAGATGACAGGAAGAGCATGCTATGTTAAAAATGGAGCATAAATCCGAGTGTGAAGGCATTTTATAATAGGACGTATTTAGTGAGTGGTGAGCAATTTTAGAAAATGTGTGACATAAGATAGGTTTGAATTGGTTCATTAAGAATTAATGAAGACAACTTTAGTTATCAGTTCAATGAAAAATTAAGATTTTATTTGAGTGCTCACAAATTCCAATTTTTAGTTTGTGATTTGGTTTGAGTTCTTGGTACTCACCAGCTATGTCTAGATTATCAGCTCTGAACTCCTGTGATTTCCTTACTCTACTGGGAATTCTGGATTATAGAACTGAATTATTTTGTCAGGATTTTATCTTGACTGATTTGTGCTTACAGCAGAGCCCTAGTGGGCAAAAACTGCTAACATTTAAGTTTATTTTCTGTCTTTCATCTTTCAAGACTTCAGCATATATGATTGAAGAAGAACTAAAGGAACAGCTAAGAAAAAAACAAGAAGCTCTGAAGCATTTTCAGAGACAAGTCAAACACCGAGTAAATCAGCAAATCAGGCTGAGAAAAAAGCAACAGTTTCAGAGATCTTATGAAGCAGTAAGTTCAAAAGTGAACCTGAGTAAAGATTGAATGTGAAGTGTGTGTTATGAGATAAGCTGTTAGACAGTTACAGACTCACTTTCTTTGGATTTCATGCTTTGTATAATTGCTAGGGAGGGCAGTAGATTTGTATGTTTTATTCTTGTGTTGTTCTGACTCACAAGAATTTTTTTTTGCTCTCACCAATAGTATAAACAATGTCAGAATTTTGGATTTGGGTTTGAATTTTGGCTTTGCTGCTTGCTAGCTATGTGACCTTGGGTTTATTACTTACCCTCTGTGGACTGTAGTTTCTTGATCTATAAAATTGGGGCTATGATACTTGTCTCACAATGTTGTTATGATAATTAGATAAGTAAATTATTAGCACATAGTAGGTGCCTGGTAAATGTTAGTTTCTTTGCCTGTTAAAACTTTCCCCTTTATACCCCTGATCCTGATTTAAAATCTTTGGGGCTGCTTATAGACATTATTTGATTATAATGGCTTGGAGTAGAACCTCACTAGAAGAATCTCACTTTCTTCCTTTGTGTAGGCAGAAAAAGAAGGCTCTATAGCCATGCAGTCTTCAGATCCAGCACATTTAACTCCTAAAAGAACAAGTGTTTTTCCAAGCAACTTGAATGCTGCTATTGGAAGTGCTAGGTTACCTCCTTCCCAGATGCTTGGGGATGGAATGGATGACAGAGAGAATCAGAATGAATTATTCCAACAACAAGCCCAGGCTGTAAGTACATATTCATTTTATGTCTATGATTTTTTTTTTTAGATATAGGACATATCTAGGATATGAAGTAGAGGTTAGGAGGTATCACATTCAACTTCACTTTTACTTTTTTTACCTTTGTAAGTGGTGAATAGTGAAATGATGTTTATTTTTTATACATATTTTAAATTTATTTATTTTTGGTAAGACAGTTTAGAATCATCTAAAGGAAGGTGCCAAAGTGTAAGAGTCAAACCTTATGAGAAAGAGCTTTAGGTCAAAGAACAGAGATTTTTTTTTTCCCCCCAATTATACTGGAATTGTGTTATGGGTAAATTATTCTGTTTGTAGCATATGGACAGAACTGATTCCTAACCTCTGTTGCAAATAGGTACAGTACATGTATGGGGCATTTCATTCATTATTTTTGTCTCTTTTTCCTCTTTTCTGTCCTTTAATCTGATTTTCATAATAAATAGATCTATAGGTCAAGTAATAATATAGTAAACTCTCAACATAATCAGAATTTTAAAATGTAACATATCTAGTAATTGATTTTACATGTTATTTATTTATTAAAGATTTATTTATTTATTTTAGAGAGAGAGAGCGTAGGGGGAGGGCAGAGGGGGAAAGAGAGAGGATCTCAACCAGACTCTGTGCCGAGCACGGAGCCTGATGTGGAGCTCGATCTCCCGTGACCTGAGCCGAAACCAAGAGTCAGACACTTAACTGACTGAGTCACCCAGGCGCCCCTTGCGTATCTGTTATTTAAAAATTAACTACCATCGTGAGGTTCATACACTCAAATCACTTGTCACCATGCACTCAACTCTCCTTAGTGTACATGAGCTTTTTGTCCAGTAAATATCCTATTCTTCAACTCTGCTATGGGAATTATACTTCATCTTATTTAAAATGTATTTCTAGGGAGAGTGAGAGGAGAGCAAAAATGTAGATGATGATTGTCTGGGGGTGCCTGGGTGGCTCAGTTGGTTGAGTGCCCATCTGTTGGTTTCGGCTAAGGTCATGATCTCACTGGTTGTGGGATCAAGCTCCGTGTGGGGCTCTGGGCTCAGCGGGGAGTCTCCTTGAAAATTCTCTCCCTCTTCTTCCCCCACTCAGGCCCACTCTCTCTCTCTTGCTCTTTAAAATAAATAAATAAATCTTCAAAGAAAAAAGAAAATGATGATAATGTGAAAATAAAAGTTTTGTAACTGCTTATGTGCTCGGTCATAAGCATGAAACAAATCTAACGGTGTTGTTAGTATCAAGAGGGAAAAGCTTTATAAGCACATGTTATATTGAAATACTTAAAATCATTTTTTTCTCTTTGTCCCAAACTATGACTTTTTCTTGCCATTGCTTGACTTGTAGTAATCATTTTATAAATCATTTTTGTTTTCCTTTTGAAGATTATGAACAGTTTGTTGAGCAAATACTTATTGAGCCAGGCACTGCGTAAAGTATAAGGGATGGAGCACTGATGAAGACATAGTTGTTGCTTTCATGGTGTCGTAGCTATTGCCTCACTGTGTGAGGATTTTACTTCGTCTGTGTAATACACAAATAGAACACATCAGGTCGCAGATACTTGAATATACTGTGTTTGTTAAACACTGTAGAGATACCAGTGAAATGTGAAATAGGACCCTTCATGGGTTTATATTTCCAAATAGAGATATAAAGCTAACAGACCCCAATCTATTAGATAATAATATAGAGACATTTGCTGTATCTGATGAAGAGTTGTGCTATGGGATGTCAAAAATTTTTAAATCCAAGGAAATATTTGTGGGAGAATTCCTGGAAGAGGTGGACTTGAGCTGTATATTTTGAATTGATAAAGTGAATTGAATTGGTAAATTCAAGAGAATTTTGAGATAGGAGGAACAGTGAAAAGTCTTGAATATGTGATGAGCTTGGTATATTTGGGAATAAGTGATGGAACCATTCTAATTGATAGTTTACAGAGGAGAATAACAGAAAATGAGGTTAGATAGGTAGGAGGAAATCAGATTATGAAAAGCATGAAATGTTATAAAATTTCAAAAAGTTTTTATACCCTGTTTTTTTTTTTTCCTTAAAAGATAAACTACTGAAGAATGTTCAGTGATCTAAACTACTTTAAGCCTATGAACTTTTGCCCCTACACCACCATGGCAATAAATGCTTTTCAATTTTACTGTTTCTGTTTCAGTTTTTATCCACTAGGTGTCACTAAGAACTAGACAGTGAGACGTTCAAGCACTAACTCCCTTGGTTTATCTAGAAGTGGCTGAGTAAATCGTGAATGCAGTTCACTTTCGGAGTGTTAGTGGACTTTTCAATTTTCTTGTCTTGGAGTGATAGAAACATAGAACCCTGGAGTTGGAGGGTTTTACATATTCATGTCACATATTGAAATACTTAAGGATGAAATGACTTGACATCTGGGGTATACTTCAAAATAATGTAAGGGTGAGGTGAAGTAGGGCATTATATATTAAACAAGATTGGCCAGGAATTGATAATGTTAAAACTGGTTGATGTGTATGTGGTGTGTATTATAGCTTCTGTCTATTTCTCTGTATGTTTGAAGTTTCCAATGTGTTTGAATTTATTTACATTTTTAATTAAATGTTGGAAAAGAAAAGACATTATCTAGTCTAACCTTTCTTTCTCTAACGAATTCTTTTTATAATGTCTCATATATAAATGGCCATCTAGTTTCTGCTAGAACACTGCCACTGCTGAGCAACTTACTACTTTTTAGACTATTTCATTTTTAGAAGTTTTGAAATTATAAGTATTTTTTCAATATATTGAGTCAAATTCTTCTCCCTATAATTTTTACCCTTTGGGCCTAGTTTTGTACTCTTAAGCAATAGAAAATAAAAAACCATGGTCATCTCTAAGACACTTCAAGTATTTGATTATAACTATCATTTTTCTCTTTTGATTCTTAAATTCCTAATGCTTTCTGTCATTATAATCTTGGTTGATTTCTTCTGAATGTTATTTAGTTTTTCAGTGCTCTTTTCAAATATGACCCTCAAAACTGAACACAGAACTATACCCCAAATGTGATTTTGCTAGGACCTCTCTTATTCTGTACCCCCACCCCATCCTCTACTTTTATAATACTCGGTATTACCTACTTGTTCTAAGGTAGATTAAGATTGGGTACCTAAAGTTAGGAAGTATAATCATAAAACCCAGAAGAAATTTCAAGTGTTCCCATAAAATAGAATTAGCCTAGCCCTGAACTTTTTGTTAAGACTGATACTTATCTCTAAGGATTGAGTTTCTGTTGTGTTCCTTGATAGCTTCATTTTGGTGGGGAATTGAAGAACAACTGATCATTGTTTCTCACCATGTAATAACTTTTTATTTATACACTATTAAGCTCACTACTATTTTTTAGCATGGTATACCTCAGCTTTTTATTTGTTTCTCACTGAATCTTTTATTATCTTATTTTTTTACTTTTATTCTCTCTTTATATTGCAGGTTTTCCAGCTTTTTCAACCCTGGAAATAACAATTCACTTTTGTAATTAAGAAAGGTTTAAACAATATGAAATAACCTGTTAAGTTTTCTGTAATCTGTCATTGAAAAACTAGTGTTTGAGTTAGGCTCTTTGGCTGCAAGAATTCATTTTATTTTAAGAATATGCACGGGATAATAAAGACAGAATCAGAAACTCACACAAATCTAAACTCCCTTAAGGAGTGTGTGGCCGGACAATTTTTTTAGGTCTGAGTTAGCTCCGTTGATCACACAGCATAGGATCTTTGATCTTCCCACTAATATTTAATCACTAACTTGATTGATTCGGTGGTCCTCGTAGGGTGACCCACCTTTCCCCATTGCCTGAGGACATGAGACCTTCAGTGCTAAACCTGGACAGTTCCAGGCAAAGTGGGAGAGTTGGTTGCCCTGTCTCTACACATATGCTTCTCCCTTATTTGCTTAATTTTCTACTACCTCATATTCTCATCATCACAGCTCTGAAACTTTGGCATATGTAGGCTCCTTTAGCCTCTTTTCTCCAGGTTTGGATCTTTTCAGTTCAGTTTCTGTCTCTGACTTTTCATACTTCCTAGTTCATTATGTAAGATAAAGAATCTTCATTGGCCCAGCCTGCCTTTTTGAGGAAGATCTAGGTTACTGGCAAGCCTATAGCTTGGGATGCCCACTTAATAATAATTTGATTTGTAACATCTCCCTATTTTCTTTATTTTTGTTTAATACTTATTAACATTCACTTTGGCCCTTGTATTAGTTTCCTTTGGCTGCTGTAACCGATCACCTCAAACTTAGTGGCTTGAAAGGACAAATTTCTTCTCTCGAAGTTCTGGAGGCTGGAAGTCCAAAATCAGTTTCACTGAGCCAAAATCAAGGTGTCAGCAGGGCTCCTTCCACAGATTCTAGGAGAAAATTTGTTCCTTGCCTCTATCAGTTTTTGGTGTCTGCTGGCATTCCTTTGCTTGTGGCTACATTGTACCAATCCCTGCTTCTGTCTTTACAACACCTTCTCTTCTGTAAGCCAAATCTTCTTCTACCTCTTTCTCATAAGGACTGGGGATGGCATTTAGGGCCCATGTGGATAGTCCAAGATTATCTCCTCATCTCAAGATCCTTAACTTAATAATATCTGCAAAGGCCCTTTTTCCTTATAGAGTAACATTTACAGGTTTCAGGGATTAGGACCTGGTGTCTTTGGGTGTCCATTATTCAGCCTGTTACAGTCCTCATAGTTAGTCCTTGAAAGGGCCTTCAGGTTGAGGTTTGATGAAGGGTTATGGTAATAACAGAGAAATGGAAAGACTATAATGTATATTCCAGCTGCTGGACCAGTTGAAATACCCTGCTTAAGGGACTAAAATCAATCTGTGACTCTAATAGAGGTTTGGAGTTGATGGGAGATGAACATTATGTATCCTTATTTCATATCTGTTACGACGAGTATTTTGAATCCTTGGTCACATTGTGCAGGGCAATAACATTTACCATACTTGGTAATGAGGAAAAGCAGGCATATGTGTGGCTCTTGTATTTTTCATAACCTCAACTGCACATGTATCTCTTTTTGCAATATGATTATCTCTATCTTGACCCCTTTAGCCACTCTGCTAACCAAATTTAGAGGTCCTCATCTTAGCAGAATAAAGAGTAATGCTTCAAGCTGATTTCTGTGGCTGGAGGTGTAGACCTTTAAAAGCAAGGACAAAACAGAGGTGATATACTGTAAGGAAACTGTGCTGGCAGTGAGAGTGCTTTTATCCCTAGCTCACTATTAGTAAAAATCAAGGTGTTTGTTATTTATATCTAAATCGTGGTCGTGATTTGCCTTCAAGGGAGAATTGATATCATTAAACTTTTGCTGGATGGGTTAGAACTGGTCTTGGTTTTGCCATAATTTTACTGAGTATCATAGGGATATACTTTTCTTCCACATGATGTAGGGCTTAGCCTAAAAAATGGTATTTTGTTAATTTCTGTATTTTCTTTAAGGGAACATTCTGTGCAGATTTGTGAAAAATAAAATATTCTATGCTTCTCTGAAAAAGAAATCAAAATAGGTGCTTAATGAAATTAGTAGGTAGATATAAGGAATGAACACAAAGCCAGTGTATTTAATATTAATACTTATTATCAGCTGTTACTTAGAGTACTTGAAACAAATGAGTTGAGATGTTTGAGTTTGTGTTCTGACTTAACTTAGAAAGGCTTCCTGAAAGAAGGGAGATTTGAGAAAAAACAATAGCTACAGTCTTCAAATGTTAGGGGTGAAGAAGGGATTCCTGTAAATAGGAAAAAAGAATTTTAGAGGGACTAGGAATAGAGTCTTCTAGCAAGGAGTGATAACAGTGATTAGGCGTGCACGGACTAGTTGAAGAAATAACTCCTTATTGAGAAGATGAATGGAAGGTAAGCAATGTATCTGCTCAATCATTTCTAAGTTTATTAATTCAAACTTTCAGGTTCTGATATTTTTGTGTACATTCTTAATACAAAGCATACGTTGTTAAAAAAAATTTGAATAACAGCACTTAAATCAAGTTATGAAATATAGTATCTTAGAATAATGAAAATCATGTAAAAATACTATCAGCAGACCAAAGTGTCCTTTGCAGGTAATCCTCTTGTCTTAGGTCTGGCATTTTTTAATAATAGGGGCCTGTTTTCCTGTTGGAACACTTAGTGAATTGGGTATTAAAACTTTAGCCTGTTTTTGTTTGCTCTTTTTTCCCTTTTCCTGGCAGCTTAGTCAAACCATGAAACAGGCCCGTCACCGGCTGGCATCCTTTAAGACCGTGAATAAAAAAAATGCGTCAGTGTTTCCAGATGGTAGAAGGAAAACCTTTCCCCCTCAAGAGGTAAATTTATTTCTAATAAATTGTTTTAAAAAGTACAGATAAAGATTTATTTACATCTCAACATTATTTAGAACTGTAAAAATAATTGGAAATAACCTGAAATATCCAATAGTAGGGAATGGTTAAAAAATTATGGTGTATCCACATATAGCTATTCTAAAAATTATCATGCTTTCAGAGAATATATGAAGACAAGGGAAAGTGTGATGCAAAGTTAAGTGAAAAAAGTAGGATACAAGATTATATACAATATATTCTCAATTAAAAAAACTTTATTCAGCCAACATTTATGGAATGTTTATAGTTGCCAGGCATTATTCTAGAAGCAGGACTTAGAGTAGAGAAAATATAGACAAAGATCCCTCAAGGAGCTTCTGTGCTAGTAGGGAAGCAAATAATAAACAAGCAAATAAATGTAGAATATAATTTCAAACAATAAGTGCTATAAAAAAAATAAAGCAAAATAAAAAGATTGGGAGGGAATGCTGTGTGCAGAGACAAAAGCCTGGAAAGAAATGGACCAAGAGGTTAATACTGATTATTTCTGGTTAGCGTTATTACAGGTGATTTTTATTTTTTTCTCTCTGTTTTCTCTATTTAAAAAATTTTTCATAATGCACATATTTTACTTTCTAATCAGGAAAAAAACCAATACTGTTAAAAGAAAGAAATTCTTTTAATTCAAAATACAAGGTTAGAGTGAATAATTGGAACCTAAATGTGACTTAAAAGGATATTTAAGGTGATACTTGTAAAATGACATTGTTCTGTGCCTACTTATTTCAGTGTTCACAAATTTGGATGTTAAAAACAAACTCATGTATTTTCCTGTGTTTACTCATTTTGGCATTAATTTCAAGTTTTGATAGGCAGCATCTAGTAAAATGGACTGTTTCATCTTTTTTGCTTTTTTTTTTTTGGCCATCATCCACCTCTGTCCCTTACTTAGTTCTTTCCTAGTTTTGCTTCCTAGATTATATATATATTTTTTGTATTTTTTTCCTTAAGTATCTCAACACAACCATCAAAAACGTTTGTCTCTTATTTGTTTACAGTTTGTAGAATGCTAACCTATAATGTCTCTCTCTTCAGTGGTAATTAAGACATTTATAGTTAAATATAAGAAACAAGCGGCCATGGGTGTGTGTGTCACATACGGCATTTCGTCCCAGATACATTCAGTATGGTTACCTTTTTCTAGCATTGTCTTGTTATGACTCTCAAGATAGAGTTTCTTTTGTACCTAAATTCTTCTCAGTGGCTTGTTTTTTTAGACAATTTTCATACCTAATGGATTTGGCAACTCCAGTTTGTGACATTAGACTGACTCCAGAGTACTGTTAGAAGGAAGTGGTTGGACACATTCTAGTAAACCAGAAAAAAAAAAAAGAGTCATCAGATCCTAGAGACTCATATTTTATATTGTGTGAAACATGTTCAAACCTTTCAGTTGATGTTTTTCCAGAAAAAGTACTTGTTTACAGGTCTGACTGAAAGCATCATTCAGTAGAAGGGAGAAGAATTAAGTCTGAGATAACATCCTGTATAAACCAGTTTTATATGTCAGAGATGCCATTTAAATGTAATTCATTATGATGAGGATGATGATGAATTCAGACTGACTGCTACTTCCAAAGAATGCATGTGTATTTTTCAGCTAAAACATTGGAAACATCTATTCCATAGAAATGAGACTGATAAAAGAAATCAGTGTAATTTTTTATATTTCTTATATCAAGTATGTGGTCTTTCCCTCAATTCTGAACAGTTTTCTACCCCCTCAATTGTATGAAGTGGAAATCTGCCAGTCAGAAAGGACACAATCTATAACCCAGTTGAACTCTGGTTTCATTTCCTTGTTAGACTTTTTACTGACCTTAAAATCTGTCTGGTTCTTATTGTTATTCCAGATATAGAGATACAAATAGAAGATATACTTGCTTGCACATTGTCAGGTCACCAAGATAAAATCATAAGCCTCCTAAAATTGATCCTGGCTGGGATAGGGACAAATTGTCATTTATAAAGTTAATATATTCTCCTAGCAGCCTATTTCACTCCATGTTTGATGTGTGAGTGATTTGTTTGTAAATCTGAAGTAGAACTCACCACTTGTTTTTCTTTATTTATATTAAACCACCCTCATCTGTTAAAATCATTCCAGATCTTTCACAAAAACTCAACTTAGTATCATGAGCATATTGCTTTCTCTAGACCATCTATATTTGTATTAATTTTTTTTTTCAGAAAGCACTTTATAGGAAGTCATCATCCCTCAAGATAAATACAGGAACAAGAGGACAGTTGACCTTTAAGGTCTGTCAAGGTCTTTGGTCTTTTAACTACTTCACATTGCCAGAAATTTATAGAAAATCAGGGAGGGAAATGTAAAGAATAAAGGGAAAAAATAATGGCTTGTTAGAGCCGTCCACAGCTAATTATGTTTGGGTTTGAGGGTTAAGATTCTAATGTCCAGTATTGTTTTGTTCCTAACAGTTCTATTGAGATATAATTTATATACCACACAGTTTACCCATTTAAAGTATACATTTCAGTGGTTTTTAGTATATTCACAGGTTTGTACAACTGTCAACGTAATCTAATTTAGAACACTTTCTTCACCCCTAAAAGAAACCCTATTTCCCATGTTTCCCATGGGAAACATTTCCCATTCACTCCTTTCCCCACCCCTAGTCCTAAGCAACCACTAAACTACTTGCTGTCTCTATAGATTTGCTTATTCTGGACATTTCATCTAAATAGAATCATATAATATGTGGTCTTTTGTGACTGGCTTCTTTCACTTTGCATATTTTCATTATGTTGCAGAATGTATCAGTACTTCATTCCTTTTTTACTGCTGAATAATATTCCTTTTATGGCTTTATCACATTTGGTATATCCATTCATCAGTTGATGGACTTCGTGGCTTTTGTGAATAACTGCTACAAACACTTATGTACATGTTGTTTTGTGGACATTTCTTTAGTAATGGAATTTTGGGGTCATAGGCTAACTCTGTGTTTAATAGTTTGAGGAGCTGCCAAGCTGTTTTCCATCAGCAATATATGTAGGTTCCAATTTCCCCACATCCTCACCAATACTTACTATTGTCCATCTTTTTGATTATAACCATCCTACTGATGTGAAATGATATCTCACTATACTTTTGATTTGTGTTTTCCTGATGACTTATGATCTTGAGTATCTTTTCACATGCCTATTGCCCATTTATATGTCTCTTATGGAGAAAATGTCTATTCAAATGTGGTGTCCATTTTTTAATTGGGGTATTTGGTTTTTTTATTACTGAGTTATAAGTGTTCTTTATATATTCTGGATACATGTCCCTTATCAGATACATGATTTGCAGATATTTTTCCCATTCTGTAGGTTGTCATTACACTTTCTTAATGCTATCATTTGTACAAAATTTTTAATTTTGGTGTAGTTTATCTCTTTTTTCTTGTGTCGCTTATGCTTTTGATGTAGTATCTAATAAACCATTGCTTAATCTAAAGTCATCAATATTTTCTGCTATGTGTCCTAAAAATTTTATAATTTTAGTTCTTACATATAGGTCTATAATCTATTTTGAGTGAATTTTTATATGTGGTGAGGAAGTGTTTTAACTTAGTTCTTTTGCATGTGGATATCCACTTGTCCCAGTACCATTTGTTGAAAAACTATCCTTTTTCCATTGAATTTTCTTGGCACTCTTGTTGAAAACCAGTTGACTGAGGGTTTATCAATGTCTTAATACTATCTTCTGAGATCTGTGAACATGGGATCTCTTTCCATTTATTTAGATCTTTTTTTTTTAAGATTTTATTTATTTATTTGAGAGAGAGAGAATGAGAGAGAGAGAGCACACGAGAGGGGGGAGGGTCAGAGGGAGAAGCAGACCCCCTACTGAGCAAGGAGCCCGACATAGGACTCGATCCCGGGACTCCAGGATCATGACCTGAGCCGAAGGCAGTCGCTTAACCAACTGAGCCACCCAGGCGCCCTCCATTTATTTAGATCTTTTTAAATTTCTTTCAACAGTGTTTTATAATTTTCATTATATAGTCTTATGCTTCTTTTGTAATGTCCTGTTTTTATAATATTTGATTATATTGACCTACCAAATTATATTAATAGTGTGCTGAATCCCAGGATTTTATTGTAATCATATTGTTTATACCTGTAATCGATACTTTTTTTCATTGTTGATTGTGTTGTTTTGTAGGAACCTGACTCTGAGGAATCTTCATCTATTATGATAGATAAGAAAGGGACAGAAAATTTGTTTTGGGGAGACCAGCAGGATCTCCTTTCTGAAGACAGGGACAAACCTTTCAGCAGAGTTCAGGTAAAGCAGAGTGAAAGGAGATAGTATAATAAAAATTAAACTAAGTGTGATTTGGACTAGCGATACCGTATTGTTGTACTACTTTGGGATTATAGATTTAGGTTCTGTTAAGTCGAGCAAAGATTATAATTTCCCATTTTATTCTAGTAATTTGACTACCATATTTTTTATTTTTTTTTAAGATTTTATTTATTTGAAAGAGAGCGAGAGAGAGTGTGTGAGTGAGCACAAGCAGGGGGAGCAGCAGGCAGAGGCAGAGGGAGAGGGAGACATAAGCTCACCATTTAGCAGGGAGCCTGACACAGGGCTCGATCCCAGGACCCTGGGATCACGACCTGAGCTGAAGGCAGACGCTTAACCCACTGAGCCACCCAGGCGCCCCTGACTACCATATCTTTTTGAAATTATTTTAGGAATCTTGTGGAAAATCTAGAGTGTTGCTACTACCTGGCATTCTATATTTGATGTTTATGTTCACTTTTAGAAAGTACAGTTCAAAAATCCACTATTTGCTGTGATGAAAGAGGAAGAGCAAAAGCAATTAGATCTTCAAGGCCTTCAGAATATTTTTCCAGAAGCCCAGGATTATCTTCCAGAAGCCCAATGTGATCTGCTGGAAACCCAGGGTGATTTGACAGGAGTCCAGAGTGTTGAGCTAGAAGCTGAGAGTATTGAGCCAGAAGCCAAGAGTGTTGAGCCAAGACTCAATACTCTGGCTATTGAGCTGGAAAGCCAAGCTGTTGAGCCCGAAGCCCAGGCCATTGAGCCTAAAGCCCAGGCTGTTAAGATAAAAACTCAGGGTATTATGCCAGAAGCCCAGAATACTGAACTAGATGATGGGAGTATTGTGTCTAAAGTCCAGGATTTGCTACCCAAAGGACAATTTGTTCTTCCCAAAGACCAGAATATTCTACCCAGATGTCAGGACCAGGACTTTCTACTTAAAGACCAGGATTTTCTACCCGAATGTCAGGACCAGCATTTTCCACCCAGAGACCAGCATGTTCTCTCTGAAGACCAGAATATTCAATCCAAATTTCAGGACCAGGATTTTCTACCCAGAGACCAGCATCAGCATTTTCTACCCAGAGATCAGGTAAATAGAGTGGAAAGGAGATATAACAAGAAGAAATAGCTACTTAAATTTTGGAGTGGGATTTGCAAGGACTAAATTGCAGCTGATTTGGAGAGTCATAGTTGGAAAAAATAGTTTCCTCATTAATTCCTCAAAAGTCTGGGGTTCTCATTAAATGTTAAAGTATTAGCAGCACATTACCCCTTACTGGACAATTTACTTTTTTTTTTTAATCTTTATTAGGAAAAATATTTCTGGCAGCCATTATCTGCTTTGACAGCTGAAAGATGGAACAAGGAGTGGCCCACAAGTGTGCAACAGTATCTTTTACTACTCAGGTTCCAAGGCCAGCCCTCCACCAGAGATCAGTTAGGCCAAAAATAAGAAAAAAGGGATCAACAGGAAGTAAATTACATAGGGTTGTAAGTGGGCTTATGTGGAATAGAATATAGTGTTTTCTATTTCATATGTTCAGTTATACTCTGACCTCAGTTAATGCCAGAATTCTCACCACAGCCTAAAGTATTGGTTAACTGATCTTTCTTAACTGAACAATTGGTATTTTGTGTTTGTTCTTTCTTTAGGAAGCAAATTTGAAGCAGCCAGCATCAATTTTGATAGGCCCAAGAGGGAGAGAGGTGTTTCCTCTGGATGTCCATCAGGATATTCTACCCAGGCATCAAGATCAGACCTCCACCAGGGACAAGGTAGAACAGAAAAAGGAGAGAGTCCAGCAGGAACTGAATTGTTAAGGGTTTAGTTTGGAACTTGCAAAGGTTGTCCTCAGCTAGACTTCGGAAATGACAGAAAGTATGGCTTTCTGTTTTATTCCATATTTCACATTATCTCGAGTTAAAAAAATTACTGTAAGGCTCTCAATAAAGCCTATAGTATTATTACTATCATATTACTCCTACTGGACAATTTATAATTAGTGTTTTTGTTTTCTTTTAGAAAGTACGCTTCAAGGAGTCATATTCTGATATGTCAAGTGAGAAAGGGAGAGAAGACTATTCTCTGGCAGGTTATCAGTATCTGCCTCCTAAACTCCAGGACCAGACCTTCGTCAGAGATCAGGTAGAGCAAAATAAAAAGGAGATAAACAGAAGATAAAGTAACTGGATTTTATATATTCTCAATAATCGGTAACATGAAGTATAGAAACAGGTGCAAAAGACCCTGGTCTGATGAACTATATCAACCAAATCAGTTCTGTCATTTAGAAGGTTGATAGATCACATTCATATTCTTATTGTAGAATCAAACTATTTTAGTTTACTAAGATTATGCTACAACTTGTGCTGAAGCCCCCAGTATTACCACCAACACACTGTTCCTACATGAACAGTGTGGGAAGTTGTGGCAGATCCTAAATTACTTAACATACGGGGAGTTTGTCAGACTACTCTGTACATGGTTTAGGATTAAAAATTCAGGTTTACAGAGTTGAGCTAAAAGTGTTACATCCTTAAAAAATAAATAGCATAAAATAAAAGTATTATATCCTTGTTCAAGTTAAAATGTATCAGAATATCCTCACCTGGTACCATTTCCCTGGAGTTCTCACTGAAACCTACAATATTATGATTAGCATGTTGCCCTGGTCAGACAGTTTGCTTTTTATTTTTATTCCTTTAGAACATGTTTCTCAAGCAACTGCCATCTTTTATGAGAGCAGAGAGAATGAGCAATGAATTGCCTCTGGAGTATAATCAGTATGTTGAACCTAAAACCCAGGACCGAGCTTCCCCTAGAGAACAGGTAGAGCAGAATACAGGGGGAGGACTCTCCTTCCTAAAAGAGTAACAGATGAAATTACTTAAGATTTGGGTTGGAGCTTATCAAGTTAGTTCACATGGAGGCTACATAGAATTAAAGCTTCTAGAGTGAGGCTAAGAGCATAACATTTTCAGCTATTTCAAAATGTGCCAGACCTAAAGTCTGTCCAGGTGAGAAAGCATATCTGTCGTTTGGGTTGACCAAGAGACAGGGTTCATATAATATTGATTGATTAACAGTAGACATTTGCATAAGCTCACATCCTGGAGCATATTTGACTTTTCTGCATTTAGTTTTATAAATACCGAAGGGCTTCTCCTCTTAGCCAACTGAGTACACCAAAACCAGACATTCTGCTCTACCAGTTTGCAAACCAGTTATGAGGAAGGATAAAACAAACTGTTTGCCACCTCAGAACTACCTGAACTTTACCACTGCTAGTTTTTGTGAATGGAGTTACTGGGGACATCTAGTAGGAGTGCTTGTGGAAATGACACAAGCTTGTTTCCTAGCTGTACCTTGGGAAAATGCTAGCAACATTGTAAAAATATTACTTTGTTGCCTTACTTCTTCCAAACATATTATTGAATAAAGAGTTACCCATGCAAAAAAAAAAAAGAAAAAAAAGTACCAGAATAATCTGGGATTTGCTTTAAAATAGTCCAGGAAAAAAGTGGGAAAAGAGACAGATGGAAAAAAAATGTTACTAATTATTGAAGTTGGGGGTTGGGTATCTTGGGATTCATTATACTATTTTCCTTCCTACTTTGATTTATATATGGGAGTTTTGTATTAACACATGCAGGCACACATGCACACCAACTCTGGTATGTTATCCTCCCCTAGTATCATCATTTTGGAGTTGTCACTGATGTCATTAGTTGTCACTAATCATTTCTGCTTAAATAGTTTTGTATTTTGTTGTTCCTTTAGAGCAAGTATATCAAGCAACCCTCATCTTGTGAGAAATGGGAGATTGAAAGAAGAATTGCTTCTGGAGTGCCATCGGTATGTTTCACCCAGTGTTTAAGATCTCGCCTTTCAGGGCGCCTGGGTGGCTCAGTTGGTTAAGCGACTGCCTTCGGCTCGGGTCATGATCCTGGGGTCCTGGGATCGAGCCCCGCATCGGGCTCCCTGCTC